GTTATATAACAAAGATTCAAAAGAAATTAGGCGAGAACCAAGAGACAACACTTCCAATGTATGGTGCATCGTGGAAGAAATGCGCGAGCGCACGCGAACGTATAAATACGGCTCAAGCAGCAAAAGGGACGGCGCAACCCACAACAAACGCTTTTATACCGCGAAAAGGAAACCCGCGAGTATTATGCCTAAAACATAATGTAAACGAGCCGAACCGCAGCCTAGCTAAACTGCTTAAATACCGCGCAAAACAAGAACTGAACAGTGCTAGAAATACTACAGTATGACACGCTTAACAGAAATGATGAGAAGAAATAACACTCCCCACCTTGAACTACGTTCAACAAAGTAAACTTAGGAAGAGCCCTCTAATAGCACGATCGTTGAGATCGGGCAGACGATACGCGTCGCTTTACTTGGTTCTCACTTTGGCTGATCTGACGAGACCGTCTCTGCCCTTATTCACTTCTATCACGAGGCCAAGCGGCCATAGTCCTCTTGGGGTGTTTTCGTTCACCACCAGCAATAAATCACCTATCTTGATGTTCCTGCTTTGCACAATCCACTTGCTTCTACGCTGCAGCTCTGGCAGGTATTCTTTCACCCACTTGCGCCAGAACTGATCCGCGAGATGCTGTACGTGACGCCAACGCCTAGGATACATGCCGCTGGATCCGAACTTGCCGGGGAGTAACGTAGCGCCATCTCGTAGCAATAAAAGATGGTTAGGCGTAAGCGCTCTCGAATCACTTACATCATCGCTGCTCTTGGTGATAGGCCGACTGTTGATAATGTTTTCTACTTCGCAGAATAGCGTCTCCAGCACTTCGTCCGTCAGTCTGTGATTCCCGCGCAGCAAGGCATTGAGCACCTTCCTGATGGAACGAATCATACGTTCCCAAATGCCACCCATATGCGATGCATGTGGAGGATTAAAAACCCACACGATATCCTTTCTCGCACAGTGCGAGTAAATCATGTCCTTATTTAGTTGGCTCATGCTTCTTGAAAGCTCAGCTTGACCGCCAGTAAAGTTCGTCCCGTTGTCAGACCAAACCTTTTCAGGTTGACCTCTTCTCGACATGAACCTTCTAAATCCGTTAAGGAACGCGTCAGTTTCCAAGATGTTTAACTTCTCTATGTGCACGGCACGTGTGGTGAGGCATGTGAACACACATCCATATCTCTTTACCTCTGATCTGCCCAGCTTCACGTAGAAAAGTCCAAAACAATCTAATCCTATGTAAGTAAACGGTGGCTTGCTATGTTCTAGCCTCTCAGGAGGTAAATCAGCCATCTTCTGCTGACAAGGCGATGCATAAAGACTTCGGCATGTCAAACACGTCCTGGACACTTTCTTGATGACTGATCTCGCCTTTGTGATCCAAAACTTAGCTCTCACATTCCCCAGTACCCACTCTGTACAGGGCCGTAGTGGCCTCCCAAAAGTGCCACTGCATAAATATGTAGCCAATGCGGGGGGTCTGGTGGTACTCCCCCAAAAAAATTTTGAAATGTAGAGCCTGGGAATGGCATTTCCTGCATTTTCAGCCTATGTTGAAAGCAACCAATTCTGATCATTATAAAAGGTAAATTTGTAAATTTCAAAGAGGAATGTAGCTAAAGCTGATGTTTTGATTAAAGTATCTAAAATATATATTATGAGTATGATAACTAATAAAATATTATTTACAAAATTGTATATACTATCAGTACATAATTATGAAAAGTAAGCCTATTTTCAATCTGCATTTATACTTTCACTATGTACATATGTATGTTTTGAAGTTTGAATTTGAATAGGCACATTGTCATATTAAATACACATTCCAGGATTTTTTTTTTCAAAATAGTGCCACGGCAGTACCGTGCTGCCGTGGCGGCCACTACGGCCCTGCTGTACCTAGGTGAGCTATATCATGTATATCCTTCACGATAAGCATTGCTAATTGGTGATCGTAAGAAATTGTACATGGGTGCTTACATTATATATCTATGCCTGCATGTTTGAGCCTCCCACCTACACGAAGCAGCCCGTCCAAACTCAGCACAGGCGTTAGCTTCCTCAGCGAACTCGACCTGTTCAGTGTATCATCTCTCGTGATTTGAGTTCATTCCTTCTCGTAGCGTTGCATCTGCACGTGCTTCACTATAATTCGCTCTGCTGAACCCATTTCATCAACGCATACGCATCTCCGAATTTAGCTTGACCTTTGCTCTTTAGCTTATCCTTTATCCTGATCCACCAACACAGAGCCCTCTTAAGGCTATACCAGCTAGAGTAATGATGCATGAGCCTATCTAGCGAGCTTTCCCTCATACTCGGGGTAGCCGCGAGGTTTATCATTTTCTCACAGACTCTTGAGGCAAACGACTGGCCTCTTTCGTTTTTTGCTTCATGCTTTACCTCTGGATCATGTGATGATACTTCACCGTCTATCCGTTGCATATTCCACTCAGCTTTATACGTTTTTAACATGCTAACGCCTTCAAACCACTTTCTGGTGTCCAGTCGCCGAGCTGCTTCCCCTCCTGTTATTACATCAGCCGGATTATCTTCACTCGCAATATAATAGCATTGATCAGGTTCTGTCAGCTGTCGGATTGTACTGATTCTTTTGCCTACAAATACTTGGAACCTCCGCGCTTCATCCTTAATGTATTTAAAAACCAGTTCACTGTCAGTCCAAAAATATGACTTGGTTATGCAGAGCTCCAACTCACGCCTCAATAGACAGTCCACATTCGCTGATAACACTGCAGCTTGCAGCTCCAAGCGTGGGATCGTAAGTTGTTTTATCGGTACTACCCTGCCTTTGCTCATTACTAAGGCTGTGTGTATTCTGCCTTGCTTACTTATACACCTCATATAAGTACAACATCCGTACGCTTTCTCACTGGCGTCACTGAAGTGATGTAGTTCACATACCGCGTCACGTGATTCGGTCGGTTTGATACATCTTGCTACGCTTATAAGTCTCAGGTCTAGTAGTGTTCCCAGCCATATTTCCCATTTCCTACCGAGATCTATGGGCACTTCATCATCCCACGATAGCTTCAGTCTCGTGGCTTCATGGAAGAGGATTTTCCCTGTTATCACCATAGGACTAATCAGGCCCAGAGGGTCAAACACCGACGAAATCAGGCTTAACATGCGGCGTCTCGTCACCACGCCGCCTTGATTTTCCTTCACTTCAAAAACAAACTCATCGGTCTCAATGTTCCACTTAATCCCTAACGCTTTACTCTCTGCACTAGGGCACAAGTCTTTCACTTCATTTGCTCGATCACTCACCGGTATGCTCGCGAGAAGGTCTCGACTGTTCACCAGTGACCACGAACTTCGTTAATCTAAATCCGCCCTTCTGTAGCAGGTCTCGTGTTCCTCTTATAATTATTTGGGCTTCAGCTTTCGTTTCGACTGACTTGAGGCAGTCGTCGACGTAGAACGATCTAGTTACTATGTCACTTATCGCAGGGTCGACATCTCCATGGTCCTTTACCGTGCGTCGCAAAGCATATGTCGAACTGCTGGCGCACCATACCCCCCCAAATACGTGTGAGGTCATGCGATAATGGATCACGTCTCCCGCACCATCACGCCACAAGAACCGTAGCATCTCTACCATATGCTGGGATATCGACTTGATGATACATAGCTTCTATGTCGGCCATGATTGCATACGCGTGCTGTCGAAATCTAAGAATGATATATAGTAATTTGTTGTTTAGATCAGGTCCTTGTAAACATTTATCATTTAACTACTCCCCATCATACTTGGCTGCACAGTCGAATACTACCCTGAGTTTGCCAGTTTTTTTTTTTATCTGTGATGACACCGTGATGTGGAAGATACAATATCTTCTTACCCGGCTGGGAGACTTCACGTTGATGAACCTTCTCGGCATAGCCCGCTGCAAGCAGTTTGCTTAACTCGGTGTCATCTCTCCATGAAACCCTTCTTTTGCAGGTTCCTGCAGAGGGATATCAAGCTAGCGTTTGCAAGGCTAACGTTATTTGGCATGAATGCATTCGCATCCTTCCATGGAATCAGTAACTCATAGTGACCTTCAATAATCTTCGCTTCATGATTCCACAGATCCAAGACTCTGCTATCCTCTTGTGACATAGAAACTTCGTCAGCCATACCCTCGTTCTAGAGATGCCATTCTGCGCTTTGTTGTGATGAAGTTGGACGCCACTCTTGTGCTAACAGGGCTCTGATAACGTTCGGTCTTACCGTTGAGGCTCCAACCAAACAATGTGCGCGTGGCACAGGGCTCCCTCGTTTCCCTTTACGCACCTGCAGGGGAATCAAAGCTTCAGCGTAATCTTGCCCAATCAGAATATCTACAGTCTGATTTTCACCCATATCAATAGATGCGATGTCCAGATCCTTCAAGTGGGGGTATGCCTGAATGTAAATATATGCGTTCGTAATCGGAATATCATCCAACACACATATTGTACAATGGTAGGGTCTCACCATTGTTACTCAATTTCATGTTCACCATCTGTGATTCTCGACTCACGGAGCTATTTAGCGTATCCAACGTGATTTTCTCAATCTCGCGTCGGATCTCGAGACGGTTCACTAGGCGTTTAGTGCAAAACGTATGACTCGATGCTGTGTCAAGCAAAGCGTATGTAATACTCGACTCATTCACGCAAACTCGCAAAATAGGCATGATGGTGTCTCTTGATATACTGGCATTTGATACTAGATAGCCACCTCTTACATCACGATTGGAAACCACATCACCGCTCTTCCAATCATTACCATTCATATCACCATTCACCTTGTCAGAGTGCAACAACCATGAATGCATCTTAAAGCACCTGCTGCATCTATACGGACACGTACACTCCCTTTTGAAATGACCACCTATCAAACATACTTCGCAAAGCTTATGCGATTTTACAATGCTCTGACGCTTCTCCAGTTCTAATCCTTTGAAGGCATTGCAGAAAATGAGCCGATGATCCCCACCACAACAAATGCAAGGAGGTCTTTTATAGCCGCTGCTCGTGGCAAAGGTGACTGCTTGATTCTTCACCCTACTATTAGCGGCATTCTCTTGCCCACCCTTGCCCGATGGCTTGAACTCTTCATGTCCATAGACAGGGTCATTAGCTATTGTTGCCTCCTCACTAATGAATTCCACTAGATGTTCAAATCTAGGGTACCTGCCTTGTTGTCTTTTAATTTCCATAGCCTTACTTCTCCATCTAAACTTGATGTAAGGCTGCAAACGTTCTACTATCTCCTTCATGCAGCTCTGCGAGTCGACTTCATGTAGTATCCCCATCTGCTCTAGAGTAATGTGGCAGTCTGCAAAATCATAGGCCAATCGTTGAAGCTGAGCGGAGTTTTTTACTGCGTCACCGAGCCTAACCGCCTTGATGACTGCTTCAGACACCAAATGTTCATCGCCAAAACGTGTGTGCAGTAAAGCTCTCGCTTGGGCATAGCCCTCCGCTGCGTCCAGTTTGGCACATCTCGCGATTACCTTTTCCGTCGCACCGGTTGTGTACTGGAGAAGCCGTATAAGCTTTACCTGCGGGTCATCTGTCACTTTATCCACACAGTCATCAACACACACTAAATATTACGTCGCTCATGTCATGTAATGTTCACTATATCCAACGTTATATAACAAAGATCCAAATTATAAGAAATTAGGCGAGAACCAAGAGACAACACTTACAATGTATTGTAGAGATTTCGGTTACACCAAAGACTCTATTTCAAACCACAACACACAACAGGGCGTGGCCATTTTGGAATAACTAAAAACTTGGATCGGAAGACCAGGTGACACCCAAATTCCACTTAAAAGATCGATGTGCAAAATCAAATAAAGGAAAGGTCAAGCTAAAATAAAATACAGGTTAAAAGGATGACGAGAAAATAAGTAAAACAATAATTAGAATAGAATACGAATGGAAAATTACTCGGCCAGGCAGCTGACGTAATCGGCCTAAATGCGGCACGGCGTGTAAACAAACGGCCGGTACCTGGCAGAACAGACCGGTATAAACCAGTAAACAAACGATGCCAGCTGGAATACCCCTGCTTAGTACCAGGGGAAAGGGGAAAAAGCACGTGACCAGGGAGCAACCAGGGAGTATATAAGGCGGCCGAAAAGCCGTAGAAATCAGAACGCCGGGGCAGCAGCCCCTAGGAGAACCCAGGAGCCCTCAAGAGAACCCAGGAGCCCTCAAGAGAACCCAGGAGCCCTGCCTTGCCTATAGGAGCACTCAGGAGAACCAATGAGACCTGCCTTGCCTATAGG